CGCACTGTCGCGTGGATCCTCGGCATTCATTGGGATAGGAACGGAGTAGTACGGGAGAGGGCCGGAAGCTTCCGAGGCTCCGTCGACATTCTGCTCGTCCCAGTCAGCCTTTTTTGCTGACGAGGCAAAGGCTCGGTTGCCGTTGAATCCACCCGTGGGGTCTCGGTCGGTTGCGATGTTGTCCAGGTAATGCTGCAAGGTGAGTCGTTCGTAGAAAATGACGTCACGTGCTGCCACTATTTCCTTGTCGTGGACGTCAAAGATTTTCCATGCGTTGTAAATTTTTTCGATGCCGAGGCGTAGCCCCCACTTGGCGCGCTGTGAGAATCGTCCGGCGCGTGTGGAGTGGGGCCTGTACTGTACCGCGCACCCGAAAACCAGTAGCTATTTTGTGCTGCCCAGTTTTCCTGTCCACAGCAGGTGTCGTGATGCGTTGTTCGGTAGGGAGGAAGACGACAGCAGGTTGTGGAGCATAACGGTGTGGTCCATCGCCTCCAGCCACTGTGAGTTGGGCAGGCGCATGCCTCAGATCAGCTTCCTCATCGTCGTCTGCAGTGTCCAGTTCATCCGTTCTGCTACACCCTGCTGTTGGTGAGCGTAGGGGAGCGAGATGAGTTTTTTTATGCCCTTCTCTGCCAGGTACTGCTTGAAGCTGTGTGACAGGTGTTCCATCGCCCCGTCTGTTTGGAAGCTCTTGCCCGATTCTCTCTCTGCTATGGGGAGCCAAGCTGCGAAGGCATCGAGGGCTTGGTCGTGGGTCGCAAGGTTGACGTGCCAGACATAACGAGTTGCTGCATCGATGAACATGATGACATAGTTCAGTTCCATGCGTCCTTTGTCCCTCGGTATGTAGAGTATATCACTATATACTTTCTCAAGCGGAGCAGTGGCCGGAGCGATGGGGTTGTGGTGCAACGGGAATGGCAGATGTGGTAAGTCGGCTTCCGGGCAGATGAAGCACGTGCCGCGGGGCTGTCGAAGTTCACAGCCATCTGGTAGTAGGAGAACGTCCTTGTCTAGAACTCCCGTGCGAATTGTGTTGTGTAGTGCTGTCTTGGCAGGGTGTCCGAGCCGTTGATGCCATGCTTCTTCATCTGCATGATATCCCGCATACCTCCGATATAGGTCGGAGTTAAAGTAGAAGGCGGCAAAGTTGGCGGCGCTTCTGTGGACTTCGCGTGGCGCTGGCGTGAGCTGCTGTGCAGTGGTCAGTATAGTGTCGACAGCTGGCGGAGATGGTAACGTCATTGACGGGCCGGCGGCCGTCGAAGGTATGTCTGTAGCTGGCTCTCCTTTCTCCGTTTCTGCTTCTTTCATAACTGCTAACGCTCTCGTGCGCTCTATTTCAGGGATGGTATGCGAGTACCAGAAGCTGCCTGGGCTGAAGTCAGGATTAAGATTTGCAGGGTGAGTCCAGGAAGTGATGGAGACGATAGTGTCGCTGTTGGCGGTGCCGCGATCGGGAACTAAGTCCAGAACGAAGACGCTGTTCTCCAAGATGGCCTTCCCGATGTAGAGGCCGCCTTTCTCGTGGTACAACTAGAACTCTTGGGTGGTGCTGTTACACTCCAAGTGAATCCCCTTCGCCATCCTCTGGTTGATGCTCAGTAAGTTGTAGCCTAATCCTTCCGCGATTAGGACTTTTGACATTTGAAGCTCCACGTTAGTTTCCAGGGATTGTTACTGAACAACTCCTTGTCGTCTTGTGCGCAGGTTTTGATTGTTCGTGACTGAGTTGTCGCTCGCTTTGACCAAAGCGATATGAAGAGCAGATGTGCTGCCTGCACCAGCTGTCTAAAAACCATGTATCTCGACCGGACGGCTCGCTTTGAGCGATTGCGGCATAAGTTGGGTTCGGCTCCAGCTGCTCTTGTCGAGGCGGCGTGATTTCTTCATGTGGGTTGTAAGTCGGTGGAGATTCTGTAATGCAAGATTCGGTTTTTGCCATGCAGCTGATGATGTTTCGTATCTCTTGTGCAGGTCGTGGCGCGAAAGGCGACGGATGCACTTGAGATGAAGTGACTTGATTTCCCGAAGGTCGAAGCTGGCGTGGTGGGACCTGCTGCTGGTGTTGTTTCTGACGAGGGCAGGTAACACGTGTGTGTCCTGGCATGCGGCAGAGATGACAAAACGGCGGTACATAGCGTCTTGCTTGTGGTCCTTGTCGCAAAAGTGCATAGAGTGCAATTTCAGGTACTGATTTTTTCTTGTGCCATTCTTAGTACAGGTCCATGTCGTGTTGTTCAGTGTGAAGTTCAGCGCAAATATGCATCTCTGAGATGTGATCGTGTGCGCAAAGAAGGGAGCGGGTTGTTTGCCACTGAGGACCGAGACCGGCGAGGATGATGGTGATAAACGTATCTTCTGACATGCCGCCGCCGCCGCGAAGGAGCTTGTCACAGAGACTGCGGCAGCGACTCATATACGCCGTGGCTTTCTCGCCGTGCTGCATCTGGATGGATGTCAACTGAGCCATGAGGCAACTCTGGTGTACGCTGTCGTTCGCTTGATACATGCTCTTCAAGTGGTTATACGCGAGTCCCGCTGAGTTTTCGTAGCCATGATAAGTTCTGATGTTTAGGATCACCTTGATTTTGTAAGGGCATTTTTTCCGTGACCCTTAGTAAAAAAGTGTAAGATTATTTTTACCCTGCTGCAGTAAGAGTACTAGTTCTATCCTGACTAGACAGGGTATCGCCGAAATCACACTGAAACAGAAGTACGGCCCACATACTGTATTCGACAAGTTTCTGTGTCCAGCTGGCATCGCACTGCATGTGTTATTTTGGCGAAGGGCCAATCAGGCTCCTCACACTTGCTCCAGCTCGTGTCGGACTGTATCTTTGAATTTGTCGAAGGGCCAGTTAGTCCCCTCACACCTGCTCCAGCTCGCGTCGGACTGCATGCTTGGTTTTGTCAAAGGGCCAGTCATTCTCCTCACACCTGCTCCAGCTCGTGTCGGACTGCATGCTTGATTTTGTCGAAGGGTCAGTCACGCCTCTCACACCTGCTCCAGTGCGCCTCGGACTACAGAACGCGCGTCATTTTGGTGAAGGGGCAGTTACGCCCAGTACATGGGTTGTGCAATCCTGTCTGGTTACCGAGGGCGTTGAACCTCGCACGACATGTGAAAGATGGGCTGGACTGAATTTAGTTGGGTTATTTTGCCAGTGGCGCAACTCGGGTTGCTGTCTCGATGCAAAGCGGAACCCATGTACCACGCCCTCACATAAGCTCCAACTCGCATCGGACTTCCTGTGTGATTTTAGTGAAGGACCGATAATGTCCCTCGCACACGCTAAGAAAGCTGGAAAATTACACGTTACTGCGCAGTGGACAGGGTGATACTTTTAGTACCCTTTACATTCAGAATACTCATCATTTTTTACAGATCTACCCTGATTTTCAAAGGGTGACGAAAATTTTACCCTAAGAGACGGAGTAATTTTTTTTAGGTACACTGATTACTAAGGGTGCCCCTAAACCAATTTTGAGCCCTGGGCACGAGCAGTCGCATTGGCGAGCTGGCCAGCGACGAGCTGGTAGGCGCTGCGGACGACTAGCTGCTGGCGGCGAGCTGGCAGAAGCCGTGGGCAGCTAGTTGGCTGGCGGTGCTGGCAACTAGCTGCTGGCGGCGAGCTAGCAGAAGCTGCTGGCAGCAAGCTGTCTGGCGCTGCTGGCGCCTTGCTGGCTAGCACCGCTGGCGACGAGCTCTCTAAGGCGACTGGGTAGTAAGCTGGCTAACGAGCTAGCTGGCGAGCTGGCTAACTAGCTAGCTAGCTAGTTGGCGCGTTGGCTGGCGAGCTCGCTAGCGCGCTGGCTGGCGTGCCGGCTTGCTGACTACCGCACGAAAGAAAAATCGAACGCTAGGGGGGGGGGAGCCCGAGGCTACCAAGCGCAAAATTGGAAGGCTACGGTGCGTGAAATTGGAAGGCTACGGTGCGCGAAATTGGAAGGCTACTGTGCGCGAAATTGAGAGAGGTGCACACGCGCGAAAAATAAGTAGCTATAGTTACGACGGCAGCGTGAGAAACTACGAGAAAATAAAAAGAAAAAACAAGAGATAACGCAATCGTCTTAGGGTTGCGGAGCATTTTTATATAGATATATTTATTGTGTTTAAAATTACCTGCATGTATATGTATAACTTCAAAGCATAAGTATCTGTAAACTTCTAACAATGGATTAAAACATATACTATGTAAGTATTCAATAGATGATTTGTGTTATAGTGCATTAATAAAAGTACATGCAATCACAATGTTAATGCATCTAATACAAGTAGGACATATCATTGCGTTTCTACATTTTTTACACTATATAGAAATGGGCTTTAAGCTATTCATCGTCCGATACTGTTCTTAAATCGTGCCACGCTGTTGTTCGTTTCTGCTTGTTACAGTTTCTTGAATAGTTTTGTTCCTTATTGCTCAACTGTAGACCTGTTTCCGTAATGTTTCTTTTGTTTTGTGTGCGTTTGGATTGTTTTTTTTTTTTTTTTTTTTTTTTTAACCTTTCCGCCAAATGCCCAGCCGTCGGGAGTTTCCGTTTTCATTTTGTTTAATTATTTGTTGACTGTGGCCACTGTTGACTTGTGGCGAGCGAATCTGGCCACCTGGCAATGCTGTTATTTTTTTTCCAGTGGCGAGGCTCGTCAAGCGTAACTGCCAGACGGAAATATAATCCGACGTGGCAATGACACCAGCCTAGCAACACTCGCCACAGAATGCTGATTTTTTTCCCGTCAATAAGAGGCAAAACCCCCGAGCTCGCCACTTGATGCATTACGCGTTACACACTCGAATTTCTGAGTTACACTACCGATAGTTTTGGTTAAATAACACGATTACACGAATTTCAGTGCGATGGGGCACTTTCTGACCGAGAAGAAAACAATTCTTTCAGAGCTGCAAAACCGCGGCTGTTTGAACGCACCTTCTCTGCTTGCGATTCGTGATTCTAGATCTGCTGATTAGGCAGCAACAAGACAGCAGCTACGACTGCCTTTTCTTATCGCAGCTGTACGACAGACTACTCCAGGTCGGCATTAAGAGTGGCTTGATGACATTTTCGTGTAGTCGTATCTTACTAGTTTCTCTATGTCTCTTCTCTCGTTTTTTCCTCAAGCTAGTAGAGGAAACGTAAATGGTCTCTTTCAGCTTAGGTACTCGGTACGGATTCTCATCTGTCGTTTCCCCTCTCCTTTGCCCGCCTTTTCACCCTCCTAGTCCGTCGTAACCACTTCTTTGCCCGCCGTCTCCCCCCTCCTTGCATGTCGTTTTACCTCTCTCTCTTTCTCTCTCTCTCTCTCTCTCTCTCTCTCTCTCTCTCTCTCTCTCTCTCTCTCTCTCTCTCTCTCTCTCTCTCTCTCTCTCTCTCTCTCCCTCTCTGCCTCTCTCTACCTCTCTTTCAACTTCTCTCTCTTCGTCTCTTTCCTTTCACCATCACATTTTGTGTTAACTTCCCATGCCCATTCGTTCTCGCCCTAGCTGCTTGTTGTTCACTCCTTTCATACGCAATGCCTAATATAATATCCATTTTAATTTTGTGCAGGTTTTCTTGTAAACGCGTTTATGAGTTCCCTACGGCGTTTTGCTATAATTCGTTGGGATGTTCAATTATCTCATTTTCAGCTTTATATTCTTATAATTGCTGGCGTCCTGTGTTTGGCCTGATGTGTCTTGCTGCTGTTATTTGCTCTCATTCTCGATCCACAGCAATGTATGTCTGTATTTCGAAAAAAGAAAGCATGCTTATCAAATCACAAACGGTTCACAGGCGAGCTCCTTGAGCTTCTGTCTCGAACTGGATTTGATAGGTTTTGGTTCTTTTTTTTGACATTACAGATTGCGTTGCTCCATCATTCAGACACTAGGCTTGCTGACTTCCCCCCCATGGTAGCGATGGGGAAGCGGTAGCTTAGAGTTTGAGTTTTTCACTATCACATAATCATCAAAAAAAAAAATTCATGTCATGAATGATGACATGAATTTTCTTGCACGACTAGATTGGATCCGTACACAATGATGTGATGCAATCAAACAAGAGGCCTGCCAAAATTTTACAGTACACCAGAAATCAACCAAATATAATGCAATTATTATTTCAAAATATATGCATTTGATTTCTATCATAGAATAAACACCTCTAGCATTTTGTTACATTCATAGGAAGAGAACAAAAACTGCAGGTCAACTTTATTGTGCAAAGGTTTTCCATCCAAACTTTTGAGTGAAAAAAAAATCGGCAAAATCGATCGGAATAGGTTGCTCCGCAACCCAAAAAAAAAAAAAAAAGGAGGCGACGAAATCGTCTTAGGGATGCGGAGCTCTATTGTATATATATAAAAAAAAAAAAAAAAAAACAAAACAAGAATACATGTGCTAGTACTACTCTGAAATAACCCAAACTCAAAGTACACAACATTTAGAAGTGTATGTAAATGAAACATATTCTTTGTTTTTTTATATTAGTCAAATTATGAATATTTTACGACTGCCAAGCGTGGAAACTGCCACCTAGAGCTGGTTCTTCTATTTCCATGTTTTAGATTCTTATGTTACTTTTATGTATTGTTTATTATTACGCTACAATTCTTACTTCATCTCGTTTTCGTTTTCGTTTCAGTGTCGTCTTTCTCGATACTGTGCGATATGATTTCCCTGCCTGGTGGCGAAAGTTGCCACCTAGCAGATTTTGTTTTTTTTTGCGCCCAGTGGCGAGCCTCGACACGCGCACAAATTCTGGCGGAAAATACTGTAGACGTCCAGTGACGTCGAATTTGTTCTGCCACCCGTTCGGATTTTTTTTCGTCAAAGCGATCCGGCTTTTTGAACGACGCGAATTACAAGGGCGTATTTTAAATTTCCAATTTCATTGATTTTCACCATTTAGTTGGTTATGGATGTAAGGAATTACGATTCCTTACTCGGGCTCGCCACAACGAGTACCGCAAACAGCGCGAGTCCGCAGGCTCGGCCCTTGGTTATCGCGCCAAACCAGCCCCCGACGACCTTTTCGGCCCCAACCTGATCCGGAGTCGCCCCGAACCCGTTTTGACCCCGTCACCCTCGGACTATCGAGCCCTTGACTGGTCCAACCCTCGACATTCAACCGAGTCAACTCACACTATATAAGCCCTAGGTCTGGTTTGGATAGAGAACTCTGTAATCACGTTCCCCTTTAGTATTCTGCGCTATACTCTGAGTTATAATTCACAACAGCTGGTATCAGGGCTACGTTCCTGCCCATTAGCCTTCCGGTAGGGGAGCAGACCCTATCGAGGAAGGGGGCGGAAGGATTCTGATGGCGAGCGGACGTCGCGGAAATTAATTGCGCGGGCGTTGCCGATGCCGTCAGATCTTGTCCGATGGACGGCTGGGATTGGCCGGCCAACGAGCTTAGACGTCCAATCCCAGCCATCCATCGGACAATCCCAGCCAATCCATCGGACTAACCCCAGCCGGAGGACCGGCCAATCCCAGCCGTTTTCGACGCAACTAGGAGTGGATGACGTTTTCGCCGTGTTTTTCGGGTATGTTCGTTAGAGCTTTCGTAATTTTGGAATGTGTGGGGACAGAGTCTTCTGATTGGCTTCCGAAAAAAGCGAAGGCTCCGTCATGAGGAAACAAGTGCACGGGAGTCCTCAGGCGGCCAGGAGCTGGTCGTCAGGAGCGCGCGGGGTGGCGAAAATGGCGGGATGTACGACGATGTACGTCTGGCACGCCATGCAGCGGCAGGGTGAACTATAGCTGTGTCGCGGTTCCCGGCGTTTCCGGCAGGCTAGTTACAGGTGATGGACGGGACTTTGACACTATTTCGGCAACGGGCGGATCCGACAAATTCGGAACGACACGATCACACGAAGTTGTGTGGGTGTGCAGTTGTGTAGGAGCAGCTGAGATTAACGACCTCGGCGCTATACACTACGACGACCATCTGGAGGTGATGACGTTGTGCTGGAGTGAGTGTACTCAGCGAGAGCGACTTCCCGCGTGGGGAGGCGTTTTTCGTGGACCAGCGATTCATACCCCCACGATCAACGGAAACGGAGGCCACCACCCCTGGGTGCGTATTAAGTGTTTTCCACCGGTCGCCGAATGCGTTAACTGCCAAGAGTTGAAGCGGTGGGAGAAGAACGACGGGAGTACTGGAGCAGATGGGTTAGCGGTGTTCGGGCTGCTACTCGCTCAGCTACGTCACCGTAAAATCACCATTCCCACCAGGTAGCAGTGTCGACTTATTAATCGATGGCTTCTCGATGAATTAGGGGGGTGAACCTGCAAACTACACTGTGCTGATGGAGTGTCCCTAAAAATTTAGGAGTTACTGTTGCAGTTGAGATGAGAGTTTCACCTGGTGCAACCGAAGGCGGTTCCGACTTTTGCGGTTGTAGTTTGACGAGTTTCCGACGGAGAAGGGAGCTGTCCAGCGGTCAGTAGGCGAGCTTGTTAAAGCTCCTCTGACTAGAAGCGCGCGCACTCCTAACTCTGGGGATTCTCCTAGTTAGTTAAGCAGCAGCGAAGCGGTTTTGGGTAACCTGCAGCAGACGCGAGATGTGTGAACGTCTGCACAGCCAGCTGGATAGGGATACCAGAGTATTTTAGAGTTGGGTAACAGCTGGGAGGAGATCGACGGCATATGTTGCGCATTGACCCTGATCGACGGCCAAAACATCGTGCCGAGGCGGTGGACTCTGGTAAACCCTAAGATAAAGGGTTCAGTTCATGCGTACAGCTGGTGGAGAAACCGTGGGGGCGCTGCTAAAAGACGCCGTGACGCCTGGGCATTTTTACGATTAGTTGTAAAGCGGAGTTACGGTATCTACTAAGTATCAAGTGGTTCCGACATTTTCGGCGAGTTTGAGGAGAAGTTAAAGAGTTTACAGTTGGAGTTGTGCCCGCCATTTTCCGGGGTACGAGCGACATCGACCGACATTTGCGGATTGTTTTGGTTATATGGAGCAGAGGGGGAGCAGTAGCAGTTTCGGCTCTTCCCGAAATTTTCGGCGTGTACGGACAAAGAGGCAGATGCAGCTGGTGTCATTTGAAATCGGGTTCTGTTCGAGGATATTCACGCGAAGAGGTTCGGTACTGGTTACAGGTCATCGCCATCGTCGTCAGCCTCTCGCCATCACCCGCTACCACCTCCATTCTCAATTCGCCCGAAAGTGTGAACACGACCCCACCGCATCATCGCCACCCATCAGGAGCAGTATCAGATTTACAGGAAATTTTGCAGCAGCATTTTGGAGCTGTGTTGGGGCCAGCTCGCAAGCAGTGTTTGACTTCTGAAAAAGAAAGAAAGAAAAAAAAAAGGAGTTCGTGTGGGAGTCCTTCTGAAGCGGTAGTTGCGGGATTTCAAGACCATTGACGCAGTTTACCCTGCGGAGGTATTATAGTTTGGAGCATCTTTGGGTATATAGCGGTTGGAGTCTTGCAGCGGCATCCTGGAAGCTGAGTTATGGGATTTTCCGCGGTAGTGTGGGATTATTTCGACTCCCCTGGAGCATTGGGTTTTCTGGAGATCTATTTGGGAAATTGGGCGCTGTTTTCTTTTGGAGGGGGGAGAAGGGCAGCTGTGCTGCACTTTACGACGAACTTTCCGGCGTGTTCCATTCACCATTTGCGACTGACATTCGTCATCGTTACGCTTCCGCACCTGATTTCGTCCCTTCGTTGATGGAGTTCGCTAACTTTCGTGGGACACGGACGCGTGCTCTCGCATGTGACTCGAACGACCTCGCATTTGACGAACGGGTTCTTCATTTTCATCGACCATCACGTTATTCGCCCGTCATCATTTCAAGAAATTCAGCCGCCAGGCGCCATCATCAATCGACCACTCGACGGTTTCACTGTTCATTGTCTTTCCGCTGGAGTATTTACCCTTGCCCCTTTGGTCACCAGAAGAATTCGACCATCTTTGACGGTTGAGATTAAAAGCGATCGTTTCGACGCTTTCTGACCATCGATTCCAGTTCGACCTCAAGACCTCGTCAGGCTGGCGTAATCATTACGCTCGTCACAGGGCTGAAGACTTACAGTCACTTCGGGGATTAAGTTAGATAAAGTGTTCGACCTCGATAAAGGGAGTGCCTTCCTTTTAGAAGGTGGGAGAGTGTAAGGAATTACGATTCCTTACTGGGGCTCGCCACAGCGAGTTCCGCGAACAGTGCGGGTCCGCAGGCTTGGCCCTTGGTTATCCTGCCAAACCAACCCCCGACAACCTTTTCGGCCCCAACCTGACCCCGAGGCGCCCCGAACCCGTTTTGACCCCGTCACCCTCGGACTACCTATCGAGCCCTTGACTGGTCCAACCCTCGACATTCAACCTGGTCAACTCGCACTATATAAGCCCTAGGTCTCATTTGGACAGAGAACTCTGTAATCACGTGCCCCTATAGTATTTTGCGCTATACTCTGAGTTATAATTCATAACAATGGAACTGGCAATACGCGAAACAATGAATTTTCGAACTCGTAGTTCCGTAGTATTGAATGCAACACGTACAAT